TACGTATGCCGCCCCGGCGTCCCTGTTTGACCGCTTCAGGAGAGCGGCTTACGGCGTTCGCTGCCGCTGTGGCACCAGCGCCATCTCATCCCCTCGTCCGGCGTAAACAGCACGGTGAACCCCGGCTGCGGTTGGAGGGCAGGGTTGGGGGTGAAGGACCAGGCTCTCCACACCACAGGGGCTCTGGCTGCCGGCTCAGGGCCGTGCCGGGGCCGTGAGGACGCACTCATCCCCCGTCTGTCGTTGCAGAACCTGGACGACAGCGTCTTTTCCAAACGGCACGCGAAGCTGGAGCTGGACGAGAAACGAAGGAAAAGGTGGGGAGCGAAGAGGGCGATGGGGGTGCCCAGCAGAGCGGGTGGTCTGCTCCCGTTCCCGCAGGGAAGGGCCCCGGGGTGTCACCCAGGGGACGGACACACACGGCATGGGATCCGGTCACCCAGGGCGCAGCTGGCAGCCGGAACCAGGAACGGTGCTGGAGAAGGGATGCCCCCGCATCGCTGCCAGCATGGCAGCTCCCCGGGAGGGGTCAAGGCAGCTGCCTGCTCGCTGCCTGCAGATTCTCACTGCCCAGGGCATCGTGTTTTCCAGGTGGGACATCCAGCGGATCAGGGAACAGAGAATTCTACAGCGGTTGCAGCTCCGAATGTACAAAAGGAAAGGGATTCAGGAGTCGGAGCCAGAAGTTACCTCATTTTTCCCTGAGCCAGATGATGGTGAGTGCCTTTGGCGTGGGGGGGCAGGCAGGGGTGTTGGGGGACAGGCAGGAGGTGCTGCCTGCAGCAGGGGGGTGGAGGGCAGGGGGTGCATAATGCTCTGATGTCTCCTGCAGTGGAAAGCTTGCTCATCACCCCCTACCTGCCTGTCGTCGCCTTTGGCCGGCCCTTACCAAAATTGACCCCACAGTGAGTACCGGCGTCACCGGCAGCGGTGGGGGGACAGGGCTGGGCTGTCTTGGGCACCGCGCTTGGGTTGGTGTCCTCGGTGTCGCCCATGGCGAGGTGGCTGGAGAGTTTTGGGGTCGGGGATGGTGCCTCGCAGCGTGCGGTGCACTGACACCAGCTCTGCCCGCAGGAATTTCGAGCTGCCCTGGCTGGATGAGCGCAGCCGCTGCCGGCTGGAGGTGCAGAAGAAGCAGACACCGCACCGGACCTGCCGGAAATAGCCGAGCCGCCGGGAGCTCCGTACGTCGCCGGGTTGTGCCGATGGCCGCTGCCCTCCCATGCCTTCTTGTTGAGGGATGGTTTCGTTCCTCCGTCACCCCGGTTTTGTTCTCTTGGGTTTTACAACACGTTCCTTGGACTTGCCCCCCTGTCTGGCAGCCGTACCCCCA